GCCCCGCCCCGCTGACCCAGCCCCGGGCCCCGCCCCGCTGACCCAGCCCCGGGCCCCGCAGCCCTGCTCCAGCCCCGGGCCCCGCCTCACTGCTGCAGCCCGGAGCCGGGTCCGGCGCCCTGGAGACTAGCGCCCCTGGCGGAGGCTGCACGCCCTGCGGCTCCCCCGGCTGTGTCGCGGGCTTCAGCTACCGCAGCTCTCACAGGTGTTGAACCGTTCCGGCCTAGCTCCAGAGAAGACAAGGAGCCCTCAGCTTCAGCCCTAAAGACAGCCCTCTTGTCTCAGATGCCCCCTCCCATAGAGCTGACCCTACAACACCTTTCCTTTTTTCCCCCTACGCCGGAGCGTGAGGTGTGGGAGCTCGGCTTACAGAACCGTGACTGACCATCCCCAGTGCAGATGGCCTGGATGCTGGTGCCATTGGGTAGACGTGGCCTGTGACTGACCTGGACCAAGAACCCTGGCCCTCTGAACTGCCGCCACCCCTTCTTTCCAGGGACTTTTCTGCAATAAAAAGTTGTGCAGTGGTCTGAGCTGCCAGGAGTTTAAATCTGGATTCTCTGGGCTATTCCCGGAGCACAGACAAACCTGGCTGCGTGGAGGGGTCAGGGCAGGAACGGTACCAGGAAGCAACCTCCTCCCCTCCTGGTGTGAGGGTCTATGTGACTTAAACGTATAGGATGGGGAGCACGGAGTCTGGGGAGAGCCAGAGAAGTGGTTCATTCATGCAGAAGGGTCTAGCCTGGGACCCACAGACAGCTTTTGGGCAGCAGGGCTGAGAATCCCATTCTTCATCCATTCATTCACTCCACACATACTTATTGAATGGCCTTATAGTGCTTGGTACAGGGAACACGATGGCGAGGAAGACACTCTGGGACCCCTGGAGATGAGATTCTGGAGGTGGCAGGTGGGCCACAGATAAGGAAGCTGAGCAGAAACAGAAAAGGGTGGAATGGGGACTGGGCCAGTGCCTTCTACCACCTTGATGGGGCACTTGAGGACAGGTGGCCTTTGCAGATGGGGAGCTGGAGGGATATGAGCACAGTTGGGTGGCCCAAGCCTGGGCTCTGGTTTAACACACAATTGGGCCACACAGTTGTGTTAATATGATCTGGTGGTGGGCAGGAGAACAACATGCTATGGTGGAGGAAAGCGTGGGCTGTGGAATCAGAGGGAGGCTCCGGTTCTGTCTCTACTTCAGATCTAGGGTGTAAGTTGGTTCGAGTTTTTGCAAGGCGTTGGACTTTAGGGGTCAGAAGGGAGACCAGTCTAGGGAGTCGGGTGGCTAGAGAAAGGCTGGATTTGTACCACACAGCCCAAGAGAAGCTTCTGTACAGTGAGCACACATTCCTTTCTATTGCATAAAATTACATCATCAATGCAACAATAGTTTCTGCTTTCCTTGTCTCTGGGTGGGGCTAAAGTGCGTCATTGGCCAGAGGCCTGGGCTTTACCTTTTAAGGCACTCTAGTGCCAGAGTGTCTGCTGTGTTCTTCTGGGTTCTGCCCAGAGGACAGGTATGCAAAAGGCCCTCTTCCTGTGTAAACAGAAAAGTCTCATGCAAGAGGAATGGGACTGAAACTTGGCTGGCAGGCTGCCACCCTCCTGGGTAGGGGGTATGGCCCCACTGGGCTCACACATCAGCCCTAGTTGATAAATTCTGACCTGCCAACACTCACAAATGCAAACCAGCTGCCTGAAGATTCTTTCAAGATTCTTTAGTCCAGCTCTGTGCTCCTTGCATTTTGCTAGGGGGTCATGAGGTTCTGTGATATTCAAGGCCAATTTTCTCCAGCTTCTGCTGTGATGATCTTGTCAACAAGGGAACTTCATGGGAATTGTAGGCAGGATCTAGGATGTACATTCTGCAACCTGTGTCACCCAGGACTGGTTGCTCACATCCCCCCCACCCCCGCTTTTTTTTGAGATGGAGTCTCGCTCTGTTGCCCAGCCTGGAATGCAATGGCATCATCTTGGCTCACTGCAACCTCCGCTTCCTGGTTTCAAGCGATCCTCCTGCCTCAGTCTCCTAAGTAGCTGAGATTACAGATGTGCGCCACCATGCCTGGCTGATTTTGTATCATTATTATTATTTTTTTAGTTGTTAAATGATCCTTTATTGAAATATCTTCCTTTGTGCTTCTTAACTAGCTGGGCATTCCACAGCACCACTGTTGATGTCATCTATGATGTCATCAGGGTGGTGGCCATCAGCATTACAGTCCACAGACTGGGCAGTCCCCAGGATCTCTTTAATGGTTCCAGAGAGTTCTGTGGGTAAAGATCAGTGCCGCATCTGTTGAACAATGTTGATGATCTCATCAAAAGTGACATTCCCACTGTGTTTAGTGTTTTTCTGTTTCTTTCTGTCTCTGGTTTGTTCCTGGATGGCTTTGATGATCACAGCAGAGGCAGAAGGCACCACTCAATCTGGGCCTGTCTGTTCTGAATGGTCAGTTTCACTGTAATCTTCAAACCCTCCCAGTCCCCCATTGCTTTGGCAAAGTCATTATCAACTTTTTTGGAGACAGACCCGGGGGCCGATCTTGGCAGCCAGCACAGGAGTGGCACTGACTTCACCCCCAGTGCACCTCAGGTATATGACTTTTATCTCCTTGGGGTCGAACTTTGGCAGCATGGGGGAAGGCAGCTGATGTCAGATGAACCTGGATTCGGGTTGACCAAAGGAAGTTGCACTTTGGCCTCCTCCGAGCCGAAAGCTGAAAGCGATTTTGTATTTTTAGTAGAGACGGGGTTTCACCATGTTGGTCACGCTGGTCTTGAACTCCTGAACTTGTGATCCACCTGCCTTGGCCTCTCAAAGTGCAGGGATTACAGGTGTGAGCCACCGTGCCTGGCACATTTTCCCTTTTTAAACACTGAACCTGGACTTGCCTGATGTCAATCCAGAAAATCCCAAGGGCTTTGGGGTCAGGCTTGAATTTCTTCCTGGGCCAGGGCCATGTGGGTCACAAGCAATGTTTGTGCTTTGGAAACTAATTCCCTGAGAGGCTCCCCTGGCCATGGGCCGCATTCCAGCCCCGGGTGCATTTATGGAGAGTCATTCACCAGCCCATTTATAAGCATTGTTTGAGTCGGGGTGGCTTCTGATGGGAGGAGGACTGTCCTCGGTTCAGTATTGCTTCTCAGCGGAAGGGTACCATAAGGCGTGAGTCCTCTGTTGGCTCTCCGTGCCTGCCTCACACTTCATCGTACTTAAGCATGTCAGAGGCTGACTTAGCTGTGATCATGTCTCTATCTGAGCCCCTGGAGGGCAGTGAAGGTCTCATCCATCCCCAGGGTCTGCCTCAGAACAGACATGACGGGGCTGAGGCTGCATGGTCCTGGTTGGTGTGCCTGTCCTCAGATGTATTGGGCCCTGTTTTTGACCATTAGCATGTTGCATCCTGCATAACCCCTTGGAGGTCTCTTGTGGAGTCTAAATGCAGTCCTTCCCTCTGTGATTTCAGCTGCAAAATACCAACCAGACCAGCCTGGAGTAGTGAAGGAAGGGCCTGGATCCTGTTCCCAGTCTTGTTCTTACCTTGACCAAACTTTTCACCTGTTTCTGGGCCTCAGTCCTGCTCTCCTCTAGATTTAAATCTTGAAGATCCATTTTTCCCTTTATTTAATTTTAAATTTATTTTTGTAGAGATGAAGTCTTGCTCTATCACCCAAGATGGAGTGCAGTGGCAGGATTATAGCTTACTGCAGCCTTGAACTCCTGGGCTCAAGCAATCCTCCTGCCTCAGCCTCCCAAAGTGCTGGGATTACAGGTGTGAGCCACCGTGCCTGGCTCCATTTTCCTTATTTTCTTCCCTACTTAGTCCCTCTGAGCCAAAGAGTAGCTGCAAAATAGAATAGTAACTATCAGAGAGTTGTTTGAGAAAGATATTGCTGCATGTAAAGTGCTTAAAGCATAGGGAGATATATGTCTAACTATTTCACTTACTGGAATTCTTTGGAAGAGTTTTGAGCCCCTTTAAAGAAAGCTCTACAAAGTCTAAGGCCAGCTGAACTCCCTCTGCCCCACTTGGTGTGAGAGTGACAATAGGGCAGGAGGAATAAGTAGGGAAGCCTAGGGGTTAGAGCAAGGGCTCCTTAGCCAGGGGGTAATGACCCCCAGCAGCACCTGCCCATCACTACTCCCACTTTAACCCCATTCCCTATCAGTGACCCCTGCCTCACCAGCACACATGTGTCTACCCATGTACCCACACTGCACTCATATTCACATGTGCCCTTTCCTTCTTTCTTTTCTTTTCTTTCTTTTTTTCCTTTCTGTCTTCCTTCCTTTCTGCCTTTCTTCCTTCCTTCCTTCCTTCTTTTTTTCTTTCCTTCTCTCTCTCTCTCTCTTTTTCTTTCTTCACACTTTTTCTCTTGTTGCCCAGGTTGAAGTGCAATGGCATGACACTGCAATCTCCGCCTCCGAGGTTCAAGCAATTCTCCTGCCTCAGCCCCCTTGAGTAGATGGGATTACAGGCACCTGCCACTGTGTCCAGTGAATTTTTTATTTTTTTATTTTTAGTAGAGATGGGTTTCTCCATGTTGGTCACGCTGGTCTCGAACTCTCAACCTCAGGTGGTCCACCCGCCGTGGCCTCCCAAAGTGCTGGGATTACAGGTGTGAGCCACCACGCCTGGCTAAATCTCCCCTTTCCAGCACATAGCACACACGTTCACATGCATAATCACACATTTAGAAACCCTCACCATCTCTCTCACGTGCACGTGTTTCCACACAGGTGCCTGGAGTGTGCGTGTATCTGGATGCAATCATATTGTTCCACTCACAGCTACCTCTAGACATGGAGCAACGCACAATGAATATACAGTCAACACGTGCATACACTGCATAGTTGCATGAAACCTGGACCCCCCATTTCTGTCTAGCTCCTAGTCCTGACCTCTCCCAAAGAATAATAGAGCTTTAAATTGGTAAAGGATGTTAGCAGCCACCTAATCCAAACATTGTATTTCATTAGCAGATACACGAAGGCCCAGAGACGGGAGGTGACCTGCTAAAGGTCACACAGTGAGATGTTCCTTTTCTTCACCATTCTGCAGCAGGGGCATTATGTATTTGATTCATTCCCGCCGTGCTCCTCTGCCCATGCCTGTGCAGGAATGGGAACCTAGAAATTGGTGAGGGTTGTGTGGCTGGAGTAGGAAGGAAGACAGGGTCAGAACTAGAGGGAAAGTGAGGGAGTGAAATATGGCAGGTCTCTAAGGCCCAGCTGGGCTGATGATACCAGTGAGAAGCAAGGGTGGGGAAGTTGGTAGAGGCGAGAAGGCCATCAGGACTGGAGTTGCAGTTGGCTTCTGAGCTAGGGAGGGATGGAGCTGATATCTGGACTCCGGACAGGGGTTGCTGCTGCTGCTTATTTTCTTTAATTTTTTCAAACAGGGTCTTGCACTGTCACCCATGCTGGAAGGGAGTGGCACAAACATGGCTCAATGTGCAGCCTCGCCTCCTGAGCTCAAGCTGTCCTGCTTCAGCCTCCTAAGTAGCTGGGACTGTAGGTGCACACCCCCTCGCCAGCTAATGCTTTTATATTTTATAGAGATGGAGTCTCACCATATTGTCCGGGCTGAGGGGGCTCAAGCAATCTTTTCACCTCAGCCCCCTAAAGTGTTGGGATTATAGTGTGAGCCATTGCACCCAGCCCAGGGCCAGCTTCTGAGCTGTGTGATGTCACAGAGCTGTGTGATGTTACAGCATAGAGGGTGTGAATGATCGAACACAAATTCTGAAACTTTCCAGGATTCTGTCCTGCTCAGAATTCCAGAGGTGGCTGAGAGACCTTGGTTTGATTCTACCTTTTACAAGAGACTTTGTATTTTTAGTCTAGACGCTTCTGGTCTCTTAATATTCTTAATCATTTCTAGTGCCCAGAAGGGTAGAGGTGTGGGACTTCCATTTCTGCTGCATTTTCTGGGCCTCAGACTGGAAGTTTAGAGATTCACTCTGGCATAAAGGTGTATGTTCAGGGTGGCAGCCACCTGGTGCTGATGGTGTCCTACAACAGCAGGCCGCCATGCATGTGCCCCAAGACCAAGCAGGAGGTGATCGCTCATGCAACCACTTGGGCACTGGAACCCTCTCGGCAATGACCATCGGCTGGCTACACACGACTTCCCCCTGGGGTAGCAGCTCCCCAGCAGGACTACCCTGACCCTGGGTCCTGAGGAATTGGTGAAAGGGGGTGTCACCCTGCCCTGCTGCTTCCCCCTGGCTTCCATCCACACCTGGGGCCCAATTGCTCATCCTTCCTGCCTGACCAGATGCAGCCGCAAGTCCCACCGCTCCATTACCAAGAGCTTGTGCCTCTCGGTTCCTGTATGCTGGAGGAGCTCAAACTGAAGAAGGCAACACAATCGTGGCCCCGGAAAAGGACTGCCACCCACACTTGTGATTACGCAGGCTGCAGCAAAACCCACACAAAGAGTTCCCATCTCGAGGCACACCTGCGAACCCACACAGGTGAGAAACTTTATCACTGTGACTGGGAAGGCTGTGGGTGGAAATTTGCCTGCTCAGATGAACTGACCACGCACTGCTGTATAAACATGCCGGGCACCGCCCATTCCAGGCCAGAAATGCCACTGAGCATTTTCCAGGTCAGACTACCTCGCCTTACACAGCAAAAGGCATTTTTAAATCCTGGACAGTGGATAGGACCCACACTGCTGGAAGAGAATTCAGCATTTTTACCTTTCACATTGTCTTCCCGATGAGGGGAGGAGCTCAGCCAGAAAGCACTACAATCATGATCAAGTTCCCAACTGAGTCAACTTGTGAGCGGATAATCAGGAAAAATGCGGAATCCAAAAGACAAAAAGCAAAGAACAGCTGGGGTCTGTGATTGGATCTTCTTTCATTCCAATTCTAAATCCGACTTGAATATTCCTGGACTTAAAAAATGCCAAGGGAGTGACTGGAAGTTGTGGACCTCAGGGTATAAATTATATCCGTGAGTTGGGGGAGGGAAGACCAGAATTCCCTTGAATTGTGCATGGATGCAATATAAGCATAAAAGATCGCCTTGTATTCTCTCTACTTTCTAAAAGCCATTTTTATGATGTTAGAAGAGGAAGAAATTCAGGTACAGAAAACTTGTTTAAATAGCCTAAATGATGGTTCTTGGTGAGTCTTGGTCCTAAAGGTACCCAATGAGAAAGCCAAAGTTTTCAAACCGCTGCAAACTTTGACCAGGAGCATCTATATTTGTCTTCTGATCTACATTTGTGACCTAAGCCAGGTAATACACCTGGTTTACTTCTTTACCATTTTTATGCAGACAGTCTGTTATGCACTGTGGTTTCAGACGTGCAATAATTTGTACAATGGTTTATTCCCAAGTATGCCTTAAGCAGAACAAATGTTTTTTTTTTCTATATAGTTCCTTGCCTTAATAAATATGTAATATAAATTTAAGCAAACATCTATTTTGTATACTTGTAAACTACAAACTAAAATGAACATTAGCTTGTATTTTGCATACTCAAGGTGAAAATTAAGTTTTAAATAAACCTGTAATATTGAAAAAAAGATGTATGTTCAGGGAGTCACCTTGACCCATAGTGGGGCAGAGCTGTCATTTCCCTGTCCCTACCTCATCAATGTTTGGTGAACACTGCCATGCATGAAGGCGCTGAGCAGCCTTGGTAAACATGGAGATTTCTTTCTGTACTTGCGATCTCTGATCACAGATACAAGTATAATAAGAGGTTGGCCATAAGAGGCCCTGATCCCTGGAGGGACTTCTACTTTACATTCTGCAAAAGAATAATACTAATGATAAAAAAAAATAGATTATTGTGTGGCATGAAACATCTAAGGCTTTTTTTACATGTATGAAATCCTTTAATCTTCTCGTCAACTTATGAGGTGGTTGCCCTTTCTGTCATCCTCATTTCAGAGGTGTGGAAACAGGCACAGAGAGGGTAAGTACTCTGCCCAACCCCACTCAACTAGGAAGGACCAGGGCCCAGCTTGGGGCCCAGGCAATCTGGCTGGAGTCCGTGTTCCCCGCTCTGTGCCCCATCAGCTTGCTATGTGCTGTTTTCTGTCTTTAAGGAAATGTATCAACTATGGCAGGTCTCCAAAACCCCAGAGTGACTCCATTAAAAACAAAAGAAAGCCACATCAAAGGCTTTTTGAAACTTTAAATAATCTTCATGTATTCACCCCTTAAAGAATTCCAATAAATTACTCAGGCATGAGTCTTCCCTACCAAAGTACTGGATGATGTTGCCTCAGCTTTGAGTGACTGGTGAATCTGATCTTCATGATCCATCAGTTTACAGAAATGCGTGAGGTGTTTTCTGGGAGATAGCTGCGGTTTAGTGAAATGAGCGCTAGCAACACACACGGGGCTTAAACCCCAGCTGAACCACCCAACTAAGCAGGGACCCTGCCCCAATTACTGAGTGCTTCTGAGTTCCGGCTTCTTCATCTACAAGGTGCATCATTAGGGTTTTGTGGATAAAGTTACATCACGTAGGGGCCTAGCACAACTCTTGGGTAAATCTGAGCCTTCTGTGAGGTGAGGAATAGAGAACTGTACTGAAGACCCTTGGGCCTCTTACTGCTCCATGTAACTCTGGGGACCCTCTCTAACCCTGACCTCTGAGGAGGGTAACAGAGATGCAGACAAGACCCAGGTTGGCTACATTAGTTTATTGAAACACAGATCAAGACAGAGATAAACAGGGAAGAGGAGGAAGGGGAGAGGCAGGAAGGCAGTGGCCATGGGTGAGGTTCTGGTCCTGGCTCTCCCTGGTCCTCTTGTGGGTGCCAGGGACTTCTTTCTAGGGTAGCCTTTCCCGGCGTGGGGTGGCAGAGCTCAGAAGTGGGGGAATCACACAGAGCAATGAGAGGCCAGGAGTGGGAGGGGTCTTTCAAAGTGCAGGAGCCATAGCTGAACACTTGGTCCAGGCGCCTGGGCTGGATGGACCGAGCAAGGCAGGGCAGGAAAGATGCCTGGGGTCTGGGGCTTGAGTTGGGGTGGCTAACATTTCCGGCAGCTGCTGCTGCAGGACCCCACACCCAAGGAGCTGATACCGCAGGAACCCACGCCAGAGGATCCCCCTCTGCAGGTGGTGTTCAACTGGCCGCAGGGCGCGCACAGGCCGGTGCTCACCGCCACGTTCCCATTGCATGGAGCGCTGCAGACGCTGCCCGTCACTGGCCGGGAGCCTGTCACACAGAGGTCCCCACACACGACCCCGCCCCGGGAGCTGCTGACACCTGTGAACCCCGAAGTCTGAGTCAAAATTCTGGAGGGCAAGCCGTCCTGCCTCCCTGACCACCACCCCTGCCCAAGCCCTGAGCTCTGGGCATTGAAAGTCAGAAGCATCTTTAGTGGACAATTCTAGGTCCATTTAGTCCACGAGCTGGGGTCTTTCGGGATCTCTGACTCCAGATCTCTCCTGTTGTGATGCCAGCCCACTCTTTTATATTCAATCTCAGTGACACGCCTCTTTCCAAACTCTGCCTTCATCACAGGGAGGTACTAAATCTGTCCACACTGGGCCCCAAATACTCACAGACATTCACAGCCCCAACACCTTCACACAGCCTGAGGGCAAAAGAGAAAAAGGCAACATTAGTAACTGCTCCAGAGAGGCTGAAAAAGCTCCCCAGGTCATAGGGTAGGCTCCTCAGTTGGCAATTAAGAACAGAGTCTGAGGGAACACCTTGCCCCAGACAAACCCACACACCAGCCCACCAAACACCAGAAGTTATGAATGATTTTCTTCCCCCTATAGCCCTGGCCATTACTCAGCCAAGGCCAAGGGTAGGCTTGTGCCAAGGGTTGGGAAGGGTGGCTCTTGGCCAGGCTTGGTTGAACCCACCTCTGCTCCTCGCCCTCCAGCAGGCGCCTGTAGGTGGCGATCTCGATGTCCAGGCCCAGCTTGGAGTTCATGACCTCCTGGTACTC